ATGATGTCAAAGATAGGTTGTGACAATATTGAAAAGCGTCAGATTCGATGACGTTTTTATACGATTATTCTAAGGGTAGGGATGGGTATATAAAACGGTATATAAAGCCTAATGATATGAGATGATGTCAAAGATAGGTTGTGACAATATTGCGAAGCGTCAGATTCGATGACGTTCTTATACGATTATTCTAAGGGTAAGGATGGGTATATAAAACGGTATATAATGATATGATGTAGCTTCCTGTCCTTCTTCCCCGGCAACGCCTAGAGACGCAGGTATAGCAGGTTGGTCAGCTCTTTACCAGGGGTGCAGTAATATATCAGATATTCAAGTCTACCCCTGTATTCACCCTGTCCATGACCAGTGTACGTCCTGTCATTCCCCTGTAATTAATAGTCCCAGGCCGCTATCATAATGCCACGATTCTCAGTTGTCGGCATATTTCTTTATTATAGGCTTTTTGTTTGTCAGTATAATTGAAGGGATCTCATTTCAAACGCGAATGTCGTATGGGTACACGAGACAAGTACAACCGGCAGGAGCGTCTTTATACATAACTAATGTAGTTCAAATGCTACATAAATATGCCAGCCATTATGCCTTCATTGTGCGAAGTTAGGAATCAATTGTAACTTAATTATCATCTGGTCCTGTGTTCAACATTACATACAAAATAGCATATATACATGACGAAGCCCCCCGTGGGGACCGAGGCTTAGAATACGTCTCCAGTAACCTATGCCTGTGGCAAGAGGCGATAAAATGTATCTGTGACGCGGTTAAGATCGATGACTTGGTTATATGCATGTTATCGAACCCCGACGATGTTGCTCATAATATCAATCACTGGTTTGTGTGGCCCAGACTCTATTGTTCATATGCCGCCTTATATATGGAATGCTGATTACTGCGGCGTGCGGCGTTAAAGAACAAATAATGACAACAGACTTACACTTACTTTCCGACACTATTGTATCAAAATATAGTCATCACTCTCTGACATTCTTATGAAACATTTCGAAACAAAATTAGCCGTCTTCCCGTTAACATAACGAGAAATGTCTACACTATTCCCCACACATTTTTGTCTCATAGGCGCGTCAGGAAATCATAGGTTCGTTCTCAGTTTTACCTGTCGTGATTATATTTTAGGATTGTCAGCACCATGCCCGTGCTCGTGGGTTTCATAAAACTGGTAAACGTCTGAGACCTGCTTCACGTGGGACTTCCTCCCACATGAAGGTGATGTAACGGAGGTAATATTACTGAGATACTATTCAAATACTGTCACGGCAATTCCGTCTTGTATCTTGCGTTATGTTCTCTGTCGACGGCTAAATACCTCTCATCTCCAAAAAATACCTTTCCGTACCCTCATGTTCCATTGTAACACGGTATTTTAGACACATTTTGTTGGCAGGGGGATACCGTGAACACATAGTCTTCTGATAACGTATATTTTTCTCTTCCCAAATATCCTACGCTGATTTAAACGTGTCTGAGGGATACCTGTTTGCTTCCTTTGACATAAACTGCGGGGCCAAAGAAAAACTTAGCACACACATGGAAATTGTATTTGACCAAATAATTACAAACGTTACCAAACCTTCACAAGGCTGAACAGTCGCCAAAATATAGCAAGCTTAAGGTCCAATATCGCCTATGATACTCGTATCAAATACATCACCACTGAAAACTGGGTGTATACTATCTTTTGCCCGGCAGTTTAAAATAGATACATTGTATGGACTTTATCATAACTATCAGCGGTGCGCTTATCCCGGTATTGAGAGGGGCGTTACACATCACTGCAAACTCAACAGGAGAGAAGAAGCATTGTGGCCAACATCAGCAACATGGAGTCCCTGGGTGGCTCAGACCCGCTTTGTGTCTACAATGTCTGTATTTCAGTGCATTCTCCTTAAAATATCGTTCATTTTACTTAAAACCAAACTTGATACCAATCTTCCCTGATGTGCATGGTGAAAGTGATGGAGAGTGGAGGCCTAAGATGAACGCACGATATGCAGATACATCGCTAAAAAATATGTCGATTTATAACACGTATGACTTTGTAATTATATCGCATCTGTTAACATCTCGTCCTCGACAATACGTTGCTGATGACAATGATGGATTAAGTTAATCCTATTCTAACCACTGAAGATATAAAACCCTTCTCTCAAGTTGAGATGGGTAATATTACCAATTTCAAAATATGCAAATGCACCACTGTGAAATGATATGACGATGCATCAATGCGTATATGGGGATGTCAAGGAAGCAGATAATATGATCGTTTATTTCAGATTGGTTTCACGTGAATGTTTGAGTAATTAAATTCTTTAATTAAAACAAAATATATGTTTTTGACGTTGTTTCTTTGAAAATAATTTAAGTATGGTTGCTGTTACAATGGACACAACATTTCAACGTTTTATAAGGTGTTCAAAAAATGCTCTCTTAACTATATTAGAGTGCAGAAAAAACATCAAGTTTATAATAAATGATACATAAAAGTGTATTCTAAACACAATGTAATTTTTAACCGCATATCAGGATCAGTTATTACATTTAATGTTATCAATATATTGAACGATATAAATCAACATCCTCATTTCTACAGTAAGGATTTTGCCAAGAGAAAATTAAAAACAGCGAATGAAGAACATGTCCTTCATTGTCGCTCTGTATTAAGGGGTGGAGGGTTAATTTAAGGATTAATTATTTATAACGTGCTGCCTGTACACGTTGAATATTGATACTTTAAATGTCTACATAAATCATGCATAAATATAAAACATCAACGGCAGAGAATAATCAGCCTCAATCATCTGGCGAAACAAACACTCCATTTGAAGTATAAGGCAAAATAGCTGTGAACATTATATAAATTAAAATTAAATTAATGATGACAAAAATAAAGAAAGAAAAAACTGAATACAAACTTACAGTAATGTTCAATGTTGTGATATGGAGAGTAGTACGTACAGGGCCCAGTACAGATATATACATGTATTGTAGACCTATATATGCATTGTAGGCAGAAATGCTTCTTCGTTTCACAGATGGATATTCACAAGGTTTGCGTTGAGTGACAGATATTTGATGATATCAGTGGTCATTTTTTTTTATCTTCGTTACAGAATCTTTCTCGTCAAACTCCCCCTCTTAGAGCTGACACGAACAAGTATCCAGTACCACTGACGACACTGTTGATCGAATCATTCTCCGTGTCCATATAGCATAACGCCCTCAACACGTTATTTGATTTACTTATTGCTTTCTATGTCTTTGCCTCTATGTATGTTAACATCGGAAAATTACATGAGTTAGAAGACATGGCTTTTTCAAGAAACCAATATTGATAGATAATACCTTTTAAACAAGTAAATAGCAAATACACATATGGAACAGAGGGTTGAAATCATATGTTGAGTATTTGTAGACATGCTTCGTAGAAATAGAAACATCTATTTAACGACAAGTGCCTACCTTGAATGCTTGTAGATGTTGCGAACACTGGGATAGGATCCGACATATGTAGTGCAGTTCAGCCAAAATAGATTATGTTGTAATATATGTTGACAGCAACACAGTAGTCATGACAAGGAGAATTATAGATGACAAATTCTTTATTATACATACGCAACATTTCAGAGCGCTAGACAACTTATTGGGCAAGAATCGTTGTGTTTGTATTATAAAGAAGTTATTATCCATAATACTCTTTGTCATACATCCAACTGCTAAAAGCCTATAAAGACTGTCAGCGGCATAGTACATAAATGTAACGAACAAAATCCTCCTCATAATCATCGGAGATCTCAGCTAAAAGCACAGTTCATCGTACGATGCCTATTGTTTCATAAGCATGTGTTTTTGAATCACCATCAAATCGTGATGGCACCAGGTGTTCGGGAAAATGCGAGCGTATCCTTTAACGCATGTCATTTCTAATGAACGTAACTTTAATATTAATAAGCATTTTATCTAAGAATACCTTTGTTGGTGTAGAATGCTATCGCTGTGGATAAAAGACATAGTTTTCATAGACTGTTAGGATCATCCATTCATCATGATTTTGGAGAGACTTTGATCATCAGACAAAGACATGCCATGTAGCGAAGTACATGCATTTAGATAAGTTCTTTGGGGAAAAGAAGTAGGAGGAGAAGATTGAGAGATGGATTCTGAAATAAGGAATTCAAGCCATGGAATGTGTGAAGGATGAAATATAGATATCGGCTGACGTGGTAAATTCCAGGTCTTTTGTAAGATATTTGTAAAACATATCTCATTACTGAGTCACAATGAGTATTATTTGCAGGCATGTAGATATACTGCACAATAATGTCCGGAAAGTGACTGTTTACATAAATATGTGCAATACAGTCAATAGTAACCAAAATGAATTTTGGGTGTGCAATTAATTCGATCCCATCATTGATTGAAATACAGGAAGCGACACAACACTTTTTTACAATCTACGAAATCTCCACTGAACGATATCGACTCATGACTCGTGATCATGAGCAATGTTTTAAGCTTCACACAATTCATTTAATTTTGAAGTAAGACATTTGTCAAACAGTTATTTTCTAATAAATTAAAGAGTTGAATGATGTTAAAATATTTGGTATCAGTAATGGTGCATTTGTTTTCACCTGTTAATAGTAAGCACCTAAAATATACATGAAGAGAGTTTAGTGATCACGACACATACTTAAAACATGATTAAAAATGTTTTATTTATAAAAACAAATTCCACTACGGAAAGATTATATTATGTGTATTAATTTTCATAAATTATTATTGCATATAATCCATTTGTGTATTCCTACATTCATGATCAAGTCATATCACTGCCACATCCATGGTGTAGGTAGTATTTACATACTTGGTTCACACAATATGCATATTATGATAATGCCCAAATGATCAATGCACTATTTGTAAACCTCGTCGAACACTATAACATAAAGTATTTGGCTTACCTGCGGATGGTCTGTCGGAGTATCGGGTACAGTATACCCAGGCAGGCCATAGGTTCACCTTCCCCTCCCCCTCGTTCTGACGGTGCGGCTCGGAACCTTGGCTACCTGGGTGCTCGGGGGAGGATGAAGGGGACCCACCCCGATGACTGTCTGGTGATACCGGGTGGGTGTTACCTTTTCCAAAGTCAGGTCTGAGAATGTCTTCCACAAAGAAACGCGTGTGTTTCATGTCTCGTCCGTCAGTGTTTACCATCAAATGTTCCTCCTGTGAATGTATCTTCAACTGAAATGAATGTTTTTGTGCAACCATAGTTTGAAGGGCAAGCGTCAGGCCTCCATGCTGCATCTGCCCGCGTGATGGAAGGGATGCTATCATCACCTCTAATATGCTTGTCAAGCTTACAACAGTTGCGCTCCAAAATGGGCGGAGCGTCTGTCAATCATTCTTTCAACAACCAATCAAACAGCATAATTCCTCCCCAACCGTTCCCGTCTCGCGGCTTCCGTCAATTGATGCTTGGCAAAAGGAGAACTTCATTAGTCGAAATAATTTCCTACGACGGGTCACTTGAAATTGAATATGTGAAGTGTTAGTGGGGTACTTTGAAGGTTGTGTTTGGCTACAATGCCCCTACTCTCAGTCATCTACCCTCGGGGGATAAACACGGTAAACATCTCTCAACCCGCCGACAATAACAACCATTCACAGCACACGGGTAAACACTATATAGGTTACTTTCTAGTCTTTTGTTAAATGACAGTTAAGGAGACATTTTGTTAAAATATGTTAGATGACTGAAGAAGCATAGCGGAGGTTGTTGGAATATTGTTAAGTAATTTGAAGCTTGAGAATACGCGATAAGCTCGTTATTATAGGAACATGTTTGGGTAGACATGCATACCTGTCAATAATTCTGGCCCATTTCAGAATGTACATTTCTGTTCTTATCATTCTGGTGCTGACATGCAGAAAAATATCAATTCAGTGAGCTTCCCCGCCACAAGGTACACAAAAGTCTGCCTCATTTAAGTGCTTTTACTCTTAACTGTTTTCTTGCCAGTGACTTTTAACGAGTTTCAGTTGATTGTACCATTGTTGAGAGTTGGATAAAATCATTCACCTAACTTAGTTGTCATCACTTCAGGGCAAACGCTTTCAAGGACTAGCTGCTTGATGAAAAAGGAGTTAAAACGTTTTTGATTTTTTGTAGATGCAGTTTGGAAAAGTTACCGTAATGCTGTTTTCGAAATCTTTGTCTTCAATTTTAGTTGTTAACTTGAATGGCAAATATAGTCAATGCAATTTGTAAAGATAATTTTTTTATCAAAGTATTCGATTCAATGAACAAGTGTCTATACACATTAAACGTGATAGTCGTTAATCAACTTACCTTAACAATCATTTCCGAACTAAACTGCGGGGCAAAAGAAAATATAAACTTCAAAATAGGATTTGAGCCAAAACTTACTAACCTTATAACGTAAATTGGCTAATATGAATATCCATCACCATCGAATAACTATTTTTTGTTTGTTTCATGTTCAGTTACCACCCAAACTTTAGTGTATAGTTCCTTTTGCCGGCGGTGTCTATTGTAGTTTCTGTTGTTTCCTGACATATATAAAGAACAGTAGATATATTGTAATTTCCTTGTATTTTCTAGGATTGAATATGGAACCGAAAACAGTTTCTTTATAGCTTTCCGGGATACACAAATTACTATAAAATATAACAATTCCCTTATCGGTGTCCGGCATATACAAAAGACTATAAACATTACAAATCCCTATAGTTTTCATGCATATACAAACTATAAACATGTTGCAATTTCTTATAGCTCTCCGGCATATACAAAGAACTATAACTAAAAAGAAAACTGCAATATGTTTATTGTTCTCTGTACATGCCCGAAAGCTAAAAAGAAACTACAATAAGTTTATAATTCTTTGCATATGCTGGAAACCTATAGAGAAACTACAAAATGTTTACAGTTCTTTATATATGACGGAAAACTAAAAAGAAACTGCAATAAGTTTATACTTATTTGCATATGCCGGAAAACTATAAAGAAACTGCAATATGTTTTTAGTTCTTTGTATATGCCGGAAAATTAGGAAGTTGAAACATGTTTATACTCTTTTCTATATGCCGGAAACCGATAAGGAAATTGTTTTGTATAGTTTTCCGCAATATGTTTATAGTTCTTTGTATATGCAGGAAAGCTAAAAAGAACACTGCAATATGTTTACACTTCCCTGTATATGCCGGCAAACTATACAAAACAATTTCCTTATCGGTTTCCGGCATATAGAAAAGAGTATAAACATGTTTCAACTTCCTAATTTTCCGGCATATACAAAGAACTAAAAACATATTGCAGTGTCTTTATAGTTTTCCTGCATATACAAAGAATTATAAGCATATTGCAGTTTCTTTGTAGTTTTCGGGCATATACAAAGAACTAAAAACATATTGCAGTTTCATTATAGTTTCAGGCACACACAAAGAATTATAATTAGTTTGCAGTTTCTTTGTAGTTTTCTGGCATAGACAAAAGAACCATGAATATATTGCAGTTTTTCTTTAGTTTTCGGGCATATACAAAAGAACTATAAACATACTACTGTTTCCTATAGTTTTCCGGCATATGCAAAGAATTATAAACTTATTGCAGTTTTTTTTTTTAGTTTTCCTGCATATACAAAGAACTATAAACATATTGCAGTTTTTTTTTATAGTTTTCCGGCATATGCAAAGAATTATAAACTTATTGCAGTTTTTTTAGTTTTCGGGCATGTACAAAGAACTATCAACATGTCACTATTTCTTTATTGTTTTCCGGCAAATGAAAAGAATTATAAGCATATTTCAGTTTCTATATATTTTCTGGCATGTACAAAGAACTATAAACATATTGCAGTTTCTTTGTAGTTTTCCGGCATATGCAAAGAATTATGAACTTATTGCAATCTCTTTTTAGTTTTCGTCCATGTACAAAAAACTATAAACATTTTGCAGTTTCTTTATAGTTTTACTGGCATATACAAAGAACTATAAACATTTTCCAGTTTCTTTATAGTTTTCCGGCATGTACAAAGAACAAGAAACATATAGCAATATCTTTATAGTTTTCCGGCATATATAAAGAACTATAAACATATAGCAATCTCTTTACAGTTTTCAGGCATATACAAAGAACTATTCTGCCCCGGTGAGATCCATGCATGCACTCCAGCATCGTTGTGGACCTCGAAGTGAATTATGTTGAAAAGTAATAGGCAACCAGCTCCATCAACACAGCCAGTCATGGGTTCAGACCCCCCCCCTCCCCCCCCCCCCCCCCCCCCCCCGGAGTAAATGTTAATATAGTAATATGCAGTATCTGACAGTGTTCACGGCCTGTTGTTGTATCTGACAGTGTTCACGGCCTGTTGTATCTGACAGTGTTCACGGACTGTTGTATCTGACAGTGTTCACGGTCTGTTGTATCTGACAGTGTTCACGGCCTGTTGTATCTGACAGTGTTCACGGCCTGTTGTATCTGACAGTGTTCACGGCCTGTTGTATCTGACAGTGTTCACGGCCTGTTGTATCTGACAGTCTTCCCGGCCTGTTGTATCTGACAGTCTTCACGGCCTGCTGTATCTGACAGTGTTTACGTTCTGTTGTATCTGACAGTCTTCACGGCCTGTTGTATCTGACAGTCTTCACGGTCTGCTGTTTCTGACAGTGTTTACGTTCTGTTGTATCTGACAGTGTTCACGGCCTGTTGTATCTGACAGTGTTCACGGTCTGCTGTTACTGACAGTGTTCACAGTCTGTTGTATCTCACAGCCTTCACAGTCTGTTGTATGTGACAGCCTTCCCGGTCTGTTGTATCAGACAGTCTTCACGGCCTGTTGTATCTGACAGTCTTCACGGTCTGTTGTATCTGACAGTCTTCACGGTCTGTTGTATCTGACAGTCTTCACGATCTGCTGTATCTGGCAGTCTTCACGGCCTGTTGTATCTGACACTCTTCATGGTCTGCTGTATCTGGAAGTCTTCACGGTCTGTTGTATCTGACAGTCTTCACCGTCTGTTGTATCTGACAGCATCTAAGGTCTGCTGTATCTGACAATCTTCACGGTCTTTTGTATCTGACAGCCTTCACGGCCTGTTGTATCTGAAAGTGTTCACTGCCTGTTGTATCTGACAGTGTTCACGGCCTGTTGTATCTGACAGTCTTCACCGTCTGTTTATCTGACAGTGTTCACGGTCTGTTGTATCTGACAGTGTTCACGGCCTGTTGTATCTGACAGTGTTCACGGTCTGCTGTATCTGAAAGTGTTCACGGTCTGTTGTATCTGACAGCCTTAACGGCCTGTTGTATCTGACAGTCTTCACGGCCTGTTGTATCTGACAGTGTTCACGGCCTGTTGTATCTGACAGTGTTCACGGACTGTTGTATCTGACAGTCTTCACGTCTGTTTATCTGACAGTCTTCACGGCCTGTTGTATCTGACAGTCTTCACGGTCTGTTTATCTGACTGTCTTCACGGCCTGTTTATCTGACAGTCTTCACGGCCTGTTGTATCTGACAGTCTTCACGGCCTGTTGTATCTGACAGTCTTCACGGTCTGTTTATCTGACAGTCTTCACGGCCTGTTTATCTGACAGTCTTCACGGCCTGTTGTATCTGACAGTCTTCACGGCCTGTTGTATCTGACAGTCTTCACAGACTATCATAATTCGTATGAATGGATGAGGTTCGCGCCCGGGTGTTCGCGAAAAGGGTATGTTTTGCCTTTTTGGTAGCACCCTACACTCACACAATTTGCATAAAAAGGTAAGGGTTTTCTTGCCTGACTCCGCACATCAGTACTCCTGATGGCCCGTAAACAAACCAGAAAATCCAAATTTGTTTGATCGTGTGTTTGTTGTTTAACGCCTCACTCCGCAATATACCAGCTATATCACGGCGGTCGGGATATAATACAGTCTGGACAAGACAATCCAGTGATTGATATCATGAGCATCGACCTTCACCGAATTTGCATACGAAGAGATGCATCAAACAAGTCATTGAACCTGACCACTAGATCCCTTGGGACGCCTCTTACGACAAGCATGTTGAAGACCAATTCTAACCCGGTTCTTCACGGGTAGACACTCAGTGAAGAGCCAGAAATTCCAGTAACACCATAGCGCAATTACTGATTTTGTTCAAAATATATTAATTGTATGAACGGATCGCTGAAATTGAGTGATGACTCCAAGTGTTCCGGAAAAGGGTAAGAATGTCCTGCTTTACCGGCATGACCCGCCACCCGCACTTTTATTAATTATGAATGAATCACTGAAAATGAACGATGACTCCAAGTGCTCCCGAAAAGGGTTTA